AACGCTCCTCCCCACTAGTAATATTTTAATGGATGAGATTTAAAAGTTATAGCTAATTTCATATTTTATCGCTATAATTATGTAAACTTAATTACCCTGGCCAAATAACATTAGCAATATGCACACTTACTTGAGTATTTTCATCCACTATCTTGACACCTGCCAAACTAACAAACAGTGCCACCTTAATTGGGGAGAAGCGTTGCGTGACGAGACTAAAAACGGCTGCGAGGGAGACTAGAAGCAGAGAGAATGGGCTGTGAAAATGTCGATCATCCCACAGAATCAATAAGGATGTAAGGCTAAGTACTTTCTACGGATCAAATGCTTTTGAGAGATGGCGTCTTGTTAAAACAGTACACACTTCCACAGTATAGATGAATGTCCAGAGGAGCCTCTTTACTCTCGTCACGCAATCATCACATCATCCAAAGCGAAAATAGAGGGGTCCCTAATAAGTTTTTCGGGATCCGGGATTGGGCTTATCTAAGGTCGGGTTCCGGTAATTTAGAGTAAGAAGGGAGCGAGATGCGGGACGAGATATTCCGCGTTCTAAGATATTCCGCCATTCCCGCATTCCATCAATCCATTGAATAGGATCACCCTCTTTAACTCAAGGTGTCGTATTCCGAACCTTGCTCGCTTCGCAAATTTGGCGGCTCTTCAGGGTATTAGCACTGAATAGAATGGTTAAATGCTCTCTCTTCAAATAAGAAATATTTCCTCAAAGTCTCCACGATGTGCAAACCAAACCCGGCTGTCTAGATATTCTTGCAAATCAATTGTGTGCCGCCGGAAACGGTGATTTGATTGCTTGGAACAGGACGTTATTGAATGAGTAATGCCATGATAACCATTTTTCTGCATCCGAACAGGGTTTTCGCTCAAAGTTTAGGTAAATTAAAATACAGAATAGAGAAATCATTGCTCATTTCCCCGTTTTATTACAGGTTCTACGCTGGAAAATATCGATGCGCAACTAACAGACGTTTTTCATGTAGTGTGATCGCGCGAGTGAGACAAAAAAGACCATTGTCGGTAGCAGCGATTGGTGTTCGATATAACTTGAACAGAGGTCATCATCGAGGTCTTCCTCTCAGGTTGTCGAAACGTCAATCATTGCCACCAAAAACTGTCCTTTTCAGAAATACTCCCACCTAGAGGATCACCCTGTTGAACAAGCATATCTCTAATATGATGGCAATAAAATGAATGCATCCAGCGTTCCACTAAACCAAAAAACTAACCAAAGTTTGGTAATATGTTTATCAGCTAACTTAGATTTTTTAAATGAACATTAAAACGATGAGATATTGTGTTGATACATTAACCAACGGTAAACAAGTCTGAAAAATGTTATTTATAGCTATGGGAGTATCAAGGTATGTTTATTTTTCTTCTATCTTTAAACCAGGATTGATCATGTATACTGCATGGCAAGGCTGAGGCAGATTGCACCGATAGTTGTTAGGACGTGCTTTTAACAATTAAAGCACGTGCTTCAGAATGGTGTCCTGATGACTTATTTACGATGGTATCAGGCTTAGCTTTCTCTCCTACAGCTGTAGCTGAACGTATACCAGTATCAATTCAATCTAGCACTCTGCTCTAAACGTACCCTCAAAATTAGAAACTTTTGGAACCTGCCAACGCGGGACTTAGATATATCGAAATTTTCGTTTCCAGACAAGAATGAGTACTTTAATAGATTAAACAGTGGTTTATGAATCGTCTTTGACGTTTTTCGGTGGCAAGACACATCGAATGTCTATTCACAATGTATCGATTTCTTTGACCAAAATGGAAGGGTGGAAAGCTAGGTCAGAAAAGAGACCTAAAGCACGCTATTTTTGGTAACAAGAAATTGTCCTCAAATAAGTGACGGTTTGTGTTAACAAAATAAAAACACTGCTGCACAAGGTGTACGAACGCCGGCTACATATAAAATGTTTTTCGCGGCGCCAGCTTCATATTAACTGCTCATTCATGAATTGTAGTCTACATAGAAGTAACTAGTAATATATTATTCACGAAGGAAACGTTCATTGGAATTCGAGTTATTTTTTCTGTCTTTCCTAGGTAAAATGAATTCAATTACCTCATAGTTCCATTTTGCCCCGTGTTTGTTCAGTTATTGATTACATATCAAGCCAAAAGGTAAAGACAACAAAGATTAACACATTAACAGAAGGTGAGTGTTCTTCTAAAGTTCTCACAGCATTAAATACCAAGGAGTGAAAAGGGTAAGGCAAGTCAAGCACGATTAGTTTACGAGAAATAATGTGGGGCACCTAAGGAGAATATTTTCGTTTAGTAAATTACCGAAAGGATCTTCGACCAAATGAAATATTGTATTTATTAAAGGAACGACTTATATAATTTTTTTACGTACAGAAGACGACAAAACAGTTTGGTAGCTAATTCTGCGATGAAGAATATCTATGACTGCACAAAACATGGCAATTTGAAATCATTCTGATCAAACGAAGATGAGATAATTGTGGTCGATTTGCATTTAAAAAATGACAAATAATAATTATAAATGATAAATCACGATGCAAGTGACCTTCAAAAGAGAATATAGAGTTAAAAAAAACAAAATCACAGTGAATCGTCATGTAGCATACCATGAACGTTGAAGAAAGTTAATGTCATTGTAATTTATGATTACGTTGGAATGCCTCCAGTCCATCAATTATCTCCTCCATATCCGGTCTGTCCTCAGGTTCTTCTATAAGACACTTCGGTATTATGAGTTCACCAAGATCTCGAAATTCGCTATTTACAGCCTTGGTCACTTGCTCTTGCCGCCTGTCAGGATCAGGAAATTCGCCAGTACAGATTTCGCAGAGGAGCACACCAAAACTGTAGACGTCAACCTGAAAACCAACCAACCAAACAACATCTTCAACCACTCTCACCCTTAACGGAAAAGGCGCACAAATTGTTAATTTCGAAACTTCGAAACACAAACTGCTTACTCACCCGTGTACAAGACTAAAACAATTTCATAGTAACTTCCAGTTGAGCCCCTACGCTCAAAATCAAGCAATGCTAGAGGGCAAGATATCGCACAGCCATTCCTAATGTCTTGAAGACTAGTGGTAAAAGCTAGGCCCTCCAAAACGGATGGAATTCTGCTATAATTTTACGCAACTCCAGCTGACATAATCTTTCGAGGCTTAGTTTTGCTCGTGACTAATCGTTTTGGGTCACCCGATGAGAAATCTGAGAAACACATTTAGGACGCTTAATACGCAAATATTGCCTATCTGATTATTAAACGCAACAAAGAACAGAAACTCACACGATCAAAAAGAAACCCCTAAATGAGGGGCAGGCTGCCGATAGCTACCACTATTATTGATTTGTTTCAAGTGATGATTTGAGAGAGATATTTTTACTCGTCTTAGGCGTTATTTGTACCCTACGGAGTGTAGTTGGATAATAATGGTTTATACGAGACTCGTTGAATTGCTAACCTTACAGCTGATATTTTGTTTAGTTGCATCATCCATGGCCTCCGGTGCGCTGTAAACCGCAGATCCAGGACCGTCTTTTCGACTCTGACGAACATAGTTAGCATTCCCATAATCTGACACCTTTGCTCTCCATTGGTCATTTTGTCGCCACAACAGCACATTCGCACTGCTGATGTCGCGGTGAATAATGGGATGGGGCAAACTCTTGTGTAGGTAGTTAAGAGCTTGTACAACATCTAACGAAATAATGCAGACTTCTCTCTTGAGAAGTGGCTGCTCTTCGTAAAGCGATCGCAGACTACGGTCCATAAGCTCTGTGATTAATAGAAGACCCTCTGCATCAATTGATGCTCCAATAAACTGAAGTAAACAG